TCTATGTCTTCTTCTTCTACGTCGTTCTTCATCATCTTCATCATCCTCTAATTCATATTCTCCATCATCTTCATCGTCTTCTTTTAATTCATTTTCTTCTTCATTTATTTCATTCTCATTTTCAATTTCATATGTACTTTCTAATGTAACTTCATCATCTGCTAATGAAATAGTAACAAAAAGTGTAAGTAATACAATAAGAAGTGTTTTCATTTTTGAGAAAAATTATGAAATTAGTTCTTTTTTTCAGTTCTTTTTTGGTTTTTTTCTTTTTTTTTATGAATAATTTATTTCTGTTAAATATAAATATATAATAAAATAAAAATTATTTAAAAACAGTAATATGGAAGGATAAAAGTCTTCAAATTGTGTAATGTGCATTTTATATTTTATCTTGTAATATGTTATTTCTTTTTAACGAAATTGAATTAGAAGAGAAAATTTATTTTGAGATAATTTTAACAGTAATAATAACAATAATTATATATCTTTATATTCATTGAATAAAAAATTGTCATAAACCATATAATGTAATTCACTACAATTAAAAACACAGTAGATTCATCAATCTAATCAGGAGAAAGAATAAAATTTTAAACAAAAATACAAAAAAAGTAAAGAAATAAGATTAAGAATAATTTATAAAATAACATTTCCATAATATCAAATAAATTCCAAAATATTTAAATCATTTTAATAAAGAATTTTATTTTATTACTTCATTTTAACCTATTAAACATTGAAAAAGAAGATATGACTAAAGACAATATTCACTAATTACAATTTTAATTTCATAATTTTTAATGTAAATGATTGAAAAAAAAATGATGGTGAAAAATTAAATAACGAATTAATTAGAATAAACGAGAATGTCGTAAATCATGTAATTTCTTTATTATTTCATTAACCTCTTTTTCCATTTCTTCTGCTATTTCTTGTTGAATTTCATAAGGAAGACGTTCATATAATTCACATAAATCACCATCTACTGTATCTTTTACAGGAACTATTGAACTTCTAAAAGAGATATGATTTCTGTCAGTCAAGTTTGTCCAATGAACTCTCATATGCATTTCAAGGTGTTGATAAAAATCAATATCATTCTGACTTTGTAATGGAATTAATGCAGATAATCCACCCATAAAATTACTATAAAGAAAAATACTTGGAGCTCCTGGTATCAATGAACATTGAGCAAAAGAAGTTGCTATATCTCCAACAAAGAATTGAGTAGCTGTTACCATTTTATAACTTGATCCTTCATATATTGTTTTATGTGGTTGGAGTAAAGTAGAAAATGGATTTAATGCTTGTTCTTCAATTTCTTTTGGTAATTGATACATAAAAATTTCTCCAAATTTATCTGATGCAAGAACAGTTGATTGATTTAATGGTGCAGCAGTAACAACCCATCTTGGTAATGAGTCAGCATAAATATCAAATTTATGATTAATTTGATTATATCTAATTAAATTAAATCCATCTGAAACTCCTGTTAATAAAATTGTTTCTCCAATGACATGAAGTTGTGCAATGTCAGAAGCAAATTGTCTTTTTTCTGCTTTTTTAAGAAGAGATTTTAAACCAATATCATACAATCTTAATATATTTCCAACTCCAGCCAATACCATTCCTTTAAATTCAGCAAAAGCCCGAACAGGATATTCTACTTTGGTTGAATAACAATAATTAATTGAACGTTCATTAATTGAATATACTTGAATTTCACTTGATTTCCATTGAATTGGTCGAGTTTTATATGATTCAATTACTCCAACAATTAAGTATGTTTGATTTTTTGATATTGATCGTACAACACATCCACCAGTTGGATGTTTATTATTATCAAAATCAATAAATTGGATTAATTCATCTTGACTTGCATCTAGGGTATGAATACCACCAACCCAATTACCTTCATTTGTTTGGATAATTTCATTACCAACTTTACAAGAATTATTATCACCTTCAAGAATATATAATAAAGGAATTGTTGGATGAGTAATAACTTTTCTTGGTGTATATGATATTTGAATATTTTTTCCAGTAAGAGATGATGAAGTTGATTCAATAGTAATAATTTTCATAACTTTTTCACAAATAATAGCAATAGCATTATCAACAAATGGAACCAAAATTCCACATGCAAGAGTTGTATTTTGAATATTAAGTGGTGTTGTTTTAATTTTAGTTCCATTTTTATAAGATAATAATGACCTTCCACTAATAGCTAATACTGAATCTTCTCCACAATCTTTAACATTTGATAAAGTAACTGGTCTTGAACCAACAAAATTTAATGAAGATTCATTAATTTCACCACTAATAGGATCATAAACACTTCTTCCTAATAATCCATTTGAGAGACCTGCAAATAAATAAGAAGTATTATCAATAATATTAAATGTTAGTGAATTAATTGAACATTCATATGTTTGTAATGAAACACGAGATAATGCTTTTGTAGTTTCATTTGGAATTAAAGATAATAAATGAACACTACCATCAATACAACCAATAGCACAATGTTTAGAAGGATGGAATTGGTCAAGAGCTAATGCAGTAATTTTAGATAAATTATCTTTTCTTTCCATTGTTAATAAATGACCACTTTGATATTGGAAATAAATTAAAGAAGTTTGGTTATTTTTTTCAACAGAAACAATTAATTCAGAACCATTACAAGATGCACACACATATTTTTGATCTTCAGTAATAAATTGTTGAATTGGTTCAGAATAAATAATAATTCTATCAGTCATAACTTGAAGAAATGTTCCATCAAATAACATAGAAACTAATAAACTTGGTGTTGATAATAAAATTGGAGATGTAGTACATTCACTCATTTCATCTTCAGTAATTTTTAATAATGTAGTAATATTTGAATAACTTATTGCTAAGTATTGATGATATTCATCTGTTTCTTTTTTAAGTGGCCAAATACTAATTGGAATAGCAGGAAGTTCAATTTCTACTGCATCAAGAGTATTTAATTGATTTTTTAAAATTTTGATAGTACTTTGATTTCCTTTACCACAAAATGCATACATTTTTGTTGTATCTTGTGAAGAAGTTGCAGGTGCAACCTTTAAATCAATTAAAGGTGCTAATGATTTAAATCTATAAATTTCTTCTAAATTCAATATTTCTTTATGACGTTCAAATTCTAATCTACCATCTTTTTCAAATGGAATAGTTATATTTTCCATTGAAATAATATTATATAATATTGAATCTCCATATTCTCCAACACATAAGAAATGTCCTCTTTTAGAAAATTGAAGAGAAAGTGCAGTAGGTATTGAATCAAAATATCTTAAATGAATATTATCTAATTGACCTTTTTCTTTTATATCAAATGATAATTGAAAAAGATCTCCAAATTCACTTTGAAGTAATACAAAATGTTTTCCTTTATGAGTCCTCATTACATGAGATGTAATTAATGTTGAATGTGTATTTGATTGATTATGATATTTAGGAATTGGAATACATATTTTATCATGTCCTATATTAAACCATGTAATTTTATCTTCTGAACAAATAAAAAGACCATAATGATATCCTTCATTTAATGATAAAATAGGAATTAAATAATTTGATGTTGGATCAATTGGTTCAGCAACTTTTCTAATAACATGATTAAGTCCAAGATCTAATTCATAAAATACAACATATTTCTTAATAATACGATGTTCAATATGTGATAAATATTGTTCATTATAATCAACTTCTATTGTTGCAAACATTGGATTATCATATCCTACATTTAATGCAATAATATTATAACATATAGTATTACTTTTATGTGCTTCTAATGGAGAAGAAATAGTAATTTTTCCATTACTATCTCTATTAAATATATAAACTAATTTTTGTTTTTCAATTGCACCAATCATTGCAGCTCTTCCCATTGGATCAGAACAAATATATTCTCCAGGAACTACTCTTCGAATTCCACTTTTACCAAATATTTCATTATAAATTGGAATTAATTTATTTTGTTCAGAAGAATATCCTAATAATGTTATTGAACCACTATCTGATCCAATAAGAATATAGTCTTTAGCCTCTGAACCAATTCTTATTTTACACATACTTCTAATCATACAAAATACACTCTCTTGAAGTATTAATGATACTTGATCATTTTCATTAATTCGATAAAGTTCAATAGTTGTTTGTGACCTTACAATGAGAAGTTCAATAACTCCATTCCCACTAAAATCTCCAAACAATGAATGAGTAATTTTACCAGTATTTTCAAGAGAGAGATTAATGAAATTCATAATATTCCATTTTAAGTTTTTAGTTAAAAAAAAAAGAAAAATAAAAAAGAATAAAAGAAAAACACAATTAATACCATTCAATTAAAAACAATTCTTTGATATAACCCTCTTGTTCAAAATATTTATTGAAATTAAAATAAGGATTATCATATTCACAATATTTTTGTGTGAATTTACTGTTAATAATAAATTTAAAAGTATTTTGTAAAGTAATAAATCCTCTAGAAACAAAAACATTATGAGTATATTCATCAAGAGCTGAAATAATTAAAGATTTATCATTAAGTTGACGTGAATGAAGTCTAAAAGGAGAACAATTATAAGAATTAAGAAGATTAAAAACAAAATGATACTGACAATTTAAATAAACATGTCCAGTTGATGGTTGACTTGGAATTGGTGGACGATAAAAACAACCAAAAATTGAATTTTTTGTTTCAAATAATGCCATAACATTTGATTTATTTTTTATTGAACTTTGAACACCTTTTTTAGATAAACCATCTCTAGAAGAACGATAAAGAACTTTATAATTCAAATGTTCAGACCATTGTTGAAGAAATAATAAATGAGATTGAGAAATTGGAAGTAATGTCATTAAATCATTAGAATTAATAGTATTTGGATGAACTTTTAATGCAAAATCATTTAATGTTTGAAGAAAATTACGAACACTTTGAATTTCATGTGATTGAACAGGTAATAAAGATTCATCTGATTTTATTTTCATTTCTATTGATTTTTTTAAACTATTTTCTTGAATAGAAGATTGTTGTGAATATTCACAATGATTGCAATGAATATGAATAATACCAAAATTATTAATTTCAACTTTCATTTCTTTAAATTAAATTAAATTGGACTTTAGTTTTTTATAAGTTCGAATTTTAACCTCCATATATTATAAATTATTCTTTTATTATAATATTTATTTTTATTTATTATAAATTATAAATTGTTCTTTTATTTTTCCTTACATTTTAAAAGATGAATCTCAATTCTATTTATCTAATGCAAGTTTATATAACTAACTGTGGTATTATTAATTTACATTGTCAACAATTTAATTCTAATTCAATTGATCACTCACAAAACTTAATAACTAAAATTAATCAAGAAAATTATTCACAAAAAAAATTAATGGAAATTGAACCAATGGCTATTGATCCATTAAAAGCAATGGAAATTACTCCAAATGAAGTTCAACAAATGAAAAAATTTTTAAATACATTAAGTCAATTTAGTGAACAAAGTAAATCAATTTTAACAGCAACTACATTACCAGAAATATTACCAATTGGAGAATATGAAATAGAATTATTAAAAAAATGGTCAAATAAAACACATTATCAAATTATTTATCGTGCAACAAAAGATGGATTAAATAAAAGAACTTTAATGAAAAAATGTTCAGGTCATAAAAATGTTTATTTCCTTATGAGATATGATGGTGATAATGTTTTTGCTATGTATTATGGAAATACTATTCCTCAACAACCCTCTGCTGGACCTGCTTTTCTTGATGCAACAAATCATTTTCTTGCATTATTAAAACATTCATCAGGAATTACTCCATTTACAATGAAACGGTTTAATATAACTGATAGAACATTTATTGTTGGTGCATCAGATGAATACGTTGATAGAGTAATTGCATGTGTTGGATTTTTATATACACGAAGTAATTTTTCTTATTATTTTGGTGATACTACATTATATTATTATTGCGTTGAGGATCGTTCATTTAATTTTAAAAAGTATTTTCCAAGAGAAGGATATTTTAATGAATTTGTTGCTGTAGAAATGAGTTAACATAGTTTTTATTTATTATCTTTTTTGTTAATTTGTTTTTGATAACATAAAACCATAAATATTAACTACTTAACTGACTTACCTTTCTTTGTTTTATTTTGACAATTTATATTTTCTCATTGGCTCTTTTCAAAAAAATTGATTTTTTAAATATTAACAAAACCATTTTATCCCTTCATAACAAAAATATTAAAACAACAAAGTGAAAACAAATAAGAAAAAAAATTGAAATTTAAATTTTCAAAACCAATATGATTGTGTCACTAAGATAATTGATGAAGAAGTATCATAAAAAAAAAGGAAGAAACTCACAAGAAATTCCAACAACCACAAAAAAATGTTTAGTGAAAATGTCTAAATATAGTAAAAATAATTTGGTTTTTGACCAGCCAGGGTAAGACAGTTGTACAAATAGATCTTTAAATGAAGTAGAAACACTTAGAATATTAATATGCAATCAAAATATGGTGGATATTTGATTAAAGAAAAGTCATGTGAAAGTTTAAGTGCTTCTGAAGGGGTATGTGATAATTATTATGATGAAATGTCATGTGCTAGTTCTATTAATGAATTATCAGAAATATCAGAATATTGTAGTGCTGATAAAGAAGTGTATAATATCATATCAGGGAATATTGATTCTTCATTTCATGAAGAATATGTTTCTCGATGTGAAAACCCTGGTTTTTAACATTTGACAAAAAAGGAAAATTTGTTTTATAGAAAAAGATTATTAATAATTTATTTTACTTTATGGATTTGTAAGAATAATCATCGTTTTATTTTGATAAAAAAAAGAAATACAAATGAATCTAAAATCAATACAATAAAAAATTCAAATCATTTTATTTTTATAATATTGCGTTTTGTATGAAAAATATTCTTTTTATTGAATGATGAACAAAAATAAAAATATAATTTTTATATTTTTATTATTATAATTATTTATTTGTATATTAATATTTATTTTCTTTTATTTCTATTACTATTTTAATTCAATTTACTTCTCTGAATTAATATAGTTTGGAGTGTATTATATTCTTTAAATTATCTTTCTTCTCAACTTCTATTAATTTTATTTTTGTTAGTATGTAGTTCATTACATTTATCTTCATTGTTTCATTACTATTATATCATTTTCTTTTCGATTCTTTGTCGATTGGTTTATATTTCATTTTTTTTACCAATGTATTTTTTTATTCTATTATTTTCTATCCATAAGAATAAGAAGTAGTTTTAATTATTAAATTCATCCTCATTGACTAATATCTCTTGTATTTGTAATACATACCCTATCATTTCTTAATATAACTATATTGAATTAGAAATATGTCAAATACATTTTTTTTAAATGAATTGGAATTATATCACTGTTATAATATTATTGATAGTTATAATGATTAATTGATATACTAACATTTAAATAACATTATTATGATTAAGTTTAATTCTGATAAAATATATAGGCATTGTTCTATACTAAATATTGATATCATTTAAATTGATAGCAGTAATTTGAAATAAATCAACTATCACTAAATTTAAAACAGAAAATAAATAAGAGATATATTATTTAATATTAAATGAATAAGAAGTTGGAGTTAAATTATGTTCAATTCTATTCAATAAATTAACAAATTATTTCTATTATTCTTATTCATTTTATTCATAATGAATTAATTCAATGAAATGATACAAATAAATTGTTTATTTATATTATTTCTATTTCATTCTTATTTCTTTTCTTATTTATTAAAAAACACGTTGGATGGAATATTATTTCAATTGAATAAAATAAACCAACACTGAGTTATGTCTATTTGATATTCACCATTTTATTCATTGATAGATGAACGAAATGGCTATTCATATTCTTCATTGTTTTGTTTTTCT